ACATCCAGAAAGGGTAGTCGTTCATCCTCCTCCACCTCCATTGTAAACTTAATTCTTTCATCAAGTTGGTTAATAAAAGTGAGGAATTCATTTAGATTTTCCTTACGATGTGACTAAAGTGCAAAGAAGTCATCCCAGTATCGCATGAGCACTCTTAGTTGCAGTGGTGACTTCTCAAATTCTTTTTCCAACTTGTCCATGTACACATTTACCAAAAGAGGTGAGAGTGGAGATCCCATCGGTAGTCCAAATATTTGCTCGTAGATACTGCCGTTAAATGTAAAATATTTCGTCCTTACTGTCAGGTTGATCAGTCGTGTTAACGACTTCTTCCGTATCCGTTCTGCCTCCAGGATATCCTCTTCTCGCTCTAAAATCTCCATTAAGGCGCTTATCGCCTTATCACCTGCAATGTTTGGGTACATCGAAACTCACCAACAGTTCCGACCCCACTAACCCAATGTTCTGGATCCTTTGAGAAAATTCCTAAGAATTCTTGACGGTATTCAAGTCTGTCATTTACTTTCTCTTACTTCAAGCAAATGAATTTCGTTAGTTTATGCATTGCTCCATGCTTGTTGTTAACTATTAGTCTTAAGGATTTCCTTCCTTCTGTATCTTTGGCAGTCCGCAGGCTGTCGGTGGTCTTGCATCATTTCTGATGAAAGATTTCATCATCCATCGGTAAATTTCCCCATTTGTATGCATTTCAACATTGTGGTTAAACATTGAACCAAATCAAAACAAGCTGTACCACAACATTTGTGGGTTGGCACACAAGAGACTAGGGCATGACAAATCATAGACTTGGTATTAGGGATAGAAACAGGATAGAGACGGCGGGGACCGAAGCTAGTTGGCTGACGGTAGGTCTGTTGTACCAGAGACGTGGTACATGTAGCAAAGGGGTGACCATGACACTCACAGGCTTGCGCCTCGAATAAGGCACTAGATGCAGAGGAGGGCGAATAACGCCTCAAGTAGGACAGATGTGATGGTCGAGTGAAATAGGGGAACAAGGGGTAGAGCTGACGGATTTTACGGAGCAAAAGAGAGACTGGGATAAGACTAGGAAGGACTGCATAATAATAAAGCAGACTCTAAACAACATTCCCTGCACAAGGATGAAGGGGGGGTGGGTGAGAATGACAGTTGGAGTATGAAGATGTAATGTCGCTCAATGGAGCACACCACACTATATCTAAATAAACACGGTAAAAATTGTAATAGGCATGATAGGATGCTACCGAATAACTCAGGACAGAAGGGGAGATACCACAATTTTTTGGCACACACTTGGTCAAAGGATCGGCTTCACTTGTTTCTTTGACGAGTTGTTGTATGGTGCTAAGAACTACGATATTAACTGACGATGCCGACTACGATTCCGGCGAAACGTTTAGGAATGTACCACATTAACGGTTCAACTTTAGCAATGATTATGCATACAATGGACTGCGGACTAGGTGCGTTCCTCTAAGTCTTCCTACCAATATGACCATGTTGCAAAAACAAGGTCAAACAACTTCTATACAACGAAATTAGACTGTAACCACACAAAAGGCCACACCATCTTGGTCTTCATTCCTTCGTTTAAAAACCTAACACTGCAGTCAGATGAGAAAAATTACAAATAAGGAGGAAATAAGGTACGTGAGTAGGTGCATCTCACTTCTTATCTATAATAAGTATGCACTCAAAAATCCAAAAAGTGTAAGCCTAACTTTTTAAGTGCAGTTCAATATAAAATAACTTAATAGTGGCTACCCTTATTTTTGAATAGGCTATCTCCTTCTTTCTCATACAAATATAGAAATCTTTTATTTGCAGGATGGCATTTTTTCAACTGTGTTCCTTTTTTCAATAGTTGATTTAAGAGAAAAAATACGCATATACACAACCTCTTGAACCGTATACGGAAAGATATTACTTAAACTTAATAAATATCCATCTTATAGGTCACGATATCGTACCTTCGTATAAATTTTTACTGTCAAGAAAATGGATAATTATTTATAAAAACAAAAGTACTACAAAATCCTATGAATTATTTCTGGAAATGTTGAATATTTACATTTCTTCATCTTACACTCCAAAAAGACTTTTATTGTGCATCTTGCATTACTATTCTTCTTTTATAATGTAAATTAGGAAGCAAATATAGCTTCAATGAATAAATTATAAGATCATTCACATTTTTGATGATAAAAGTGAGAACGTATCCACTAGAAAAAAATTAAAATTATCTGTCTCAATCCAGATAATTCTTCTGCAATGAGCCCTATTTCGCACTCTTATCCAATATGAACAAATTAAATTTACATTTGAAAGCAATCTTTCCTTGGCTTCTAATAAGTAAAATCTATTAATCGCTAGCCTTTATAATTTTCAAACAAGACAGAATATCTAGCTATATGAAAGATTTAAGCGATTTTGCGAAGCTATACTTTTATCCAGATCTCCAAATTAGCAAAATTTTGGAATACGCACATTTGGAACGATCTGATTTAATTGAATAAGTATGCATCACGATAAGGGTTCACAAGAAGACTACAAAAAGCATCCAGAAAGTATTTTTCTGTAATCCAATTTCAACAGAAAGATAAAGGTATGGAACCTACCGCTTATGAACTTCTGGGATCCAGGACAAACATGTTACCCTTAAGTCGCATTAGATTAACACTCGTGAATTGCATGATGAGCATCACCAAAGCGCTATAACAGGTTCGATTCAATTTCTCTCGCTGTTGGAGACTCGCATATCACTAGAGAGTCAATTTCTCGAATCGAGTAAGCTAGTGAAGTGCTGTTGCCACTAAATTGGTCACTTCTGTAAATAACCTAATTGATTGAGAAGAGAAACTATTTTATTCGGTATGATGGGGATCCATAACTTTTGCATTTCTAATTAATTGAATCAGCGACAAAAAGCATGATGAGTGCACTGGAGATACCTAGGCAGGAATAAACCACAATTCAACATTAATTAAACCCCCATTTTGGATTTAAAATGTAGTGTAATTTAGTGAGAATTAACTCTACGCCCAAAAATTCATCTTAGGGATGATTGTTATAAATCCCATCATCAAAATACGAAGAATTATATTTGATAGGGTGACAAAAATAGGATGCCGATACATATAAAGTTTCTTTGGAAATTTAATTTTATGAAATATTAGGTGGCAAGAGACGAAGCGATTCCCCATCCAACTAGGTAAACACGAACTATTTAACGCATCAGACATCTTGTAGATTTATTGTACTTAATTCTAGTTATACTCTTGACTTATCACATTTTCGTTCTATCTTAGTTGGGCCTGTTATGGGAGCAAACGAAACTTCTTTCGCAGTGGTACTCTGAGGAACCTGTTATCTTGACTAAATGCTAAAAAGATTGAAACTTATGTGTATGAAAATGTTTGTATTTAATTATACACCAACCTGCTGTTCTATCAACGGGGGGGCCATCGAAGCCCAATTGGTGGACCTGGATGCCGTGAGCCAAATTATGGCATTCATCTTTTCCCTCCAAGGCACTTGCCACCCAGCATGGGTTGACTCCCCTATCAAATGTTGACTCTTTGAGATTTGTATACTGGTTCCTGAGTGCCGATCGGTTTAAATCGCATCTATACAACAACCCAGTTGATTCTGAAGAAGCAACTTTCAGCTTGTGCTGCCGACCTTTCTTGTCATCCCGCCAAGCATCCATTGGGCCAGTGGTCACATGCCTTTCGGATAAGGGAGGACGGCGCCGCCGATCACGCGCAGCTTGGACCGAATCTGCTGAATCCACAAGTCGTGCCCTGGGCCTTGTAAGTAAATAGATGGTAAGTCCGTCTTCAGCAGCCCGTGAGTCTCGTAAGTCAGCACGTCCCGCTTGATCTAGATGCATTGCTGATGATGTCACCTCCGTAGCCTTAACAGAATTATGGTTGGACGAGGTACGAGACAAAGAAGCCTTCGGCTGGCTAACATCAATCAGCACAGCAGCTGTATCATGGAAAAGGATAAGTGACTCGCGGCCAACTCGAAGCAGACTCCAGTCCCCAAATTTATAAGCTTGTAAGAAAGCCAGTTCATGCAGACACTGAAAATCAGAGCACTAGCCAGGATAGAGGCAAAACATGTAAATTAAAGAGGCTGGGCAGAGTAAGTAAATTCTTTGTTGCATGGCTCAGTCATTAAAACTGATTACACACGGCACAAAATATGTTTTAGATTGTAAAAATGGTATACAATCGATGAAAGCATTGGCTTTATGTAGGTCCCAAATTTAGGCTTGAAATGAGATTCAGATATCAGATTTGAGAGAGTATGGCATGCAAATAATATAAATATATGTTATTTTCAAAGAATTAGAAGTTTATTTTACTAGCATTCCAGTAGGATTAAAGCTGAAAGGGGGTTATAATAATTTCAAGAAACTATTAGTCTGCTTTGTTAAGTTATGAAATACAGAACAAAAGCCTTGAACTAATTTGGCCGTACTCAACTCCACACAAATTCCTTCAACTTTTGCTACTCTTCTAGGCATGACTAATCGGCACTGGAAACACTGCATTCAGTACGCTTTCTTCTCTTACCACTTTTAAAGTACACATTTATAATATAAACTGAACCAATGACTTGGTGTAGAAACTTGAATTATTCACAGTGACTCTAGGTAAACCAACTAATATCGGATCTGCCAGATACCACCATTTGTCTTAAGACCATGACAATCACTAATATGAACTCTCGCTCTCTCTCTATTATGGTCCAACTCCGAAGGCTTCATCTAACTAGATAAACACGAGCTATTTAACGCATCGGACACCTTGCACATTTATTGTACTTAACTTTTTTTATACTCTTGACTTGTCACATTTTCGTTCTATCTTAGTTGAGCCTGTTATGGGAGCAAGCAAAAATTCTTTCGCAGTGGTACTCTGAAGAACCTGTTATCGATATGAACACTTTCCAGGCCACTAAATAAAATAGAATTGATGACGGGCTTTGAGTGAATTACAGCACTGTAATTTATGTGGCGATTGACCAATTAACTTTCCTAAAAAAATCCATAAAAGGATGACTTAAATAAAAAATAAATCCACATTACTCAACCTTGTTAAAGTAGATGTATATAAAAGTAATTACTTGGAAATAGTAACACTGTAGAAGAAATACTAGCAACGCCATTTGACCATTTATGAGAAAATTGAAGGTTATCTCAAGAAATTCATCTAGACCCAGTTTATCTTCGTATCTATAATGTAAGTACGATTCGACTTCTTGTCATTTGTCTACTCGCTACACTATAACCAAGAAAACCATATCCCGGTAAGTTAATAGAATTAGATATATATAAATTTGTATTTCTCATTATGTTGTTTATTTGGTAGACGTTTTAATATACCGACATCCACCAATAGGGAACTTGATCAGGTATCATGTCGTTTGGTTAAAACTAGGCTTAAGGAAAGCATTAACAGACTACACGAACTAATTTAAAACCAAAACTTGGCTTAGGCAAACTCTTTCTAAAATATTGAAGGATGTGGATTTCCCTAATTTGCAAGATATGGCCGACAGTTCGTAACCCGTCAGGAGAAGCGACTGACATAACGTCTCCTCGGATAATGTATAAGAAGCTCCGGAATTTAGAAATTGGAATTAGGTAGAGAAACTTTACGCCTAAGGTAAGTCGTACTAACCATATTTGTATCAAACTGAGGAAGGATAAGGTAATCAATTTATCTAGTACAACTCTGGATGATAGTGTACTACTTTCATTGGAAAGAGGATTGAATTTTGCTCTTCCAAATGAGGCTAACCATTTTCTGGAAATACTTTTTGAATTAATTAGCTTATCTGATAGATTGCCTGAAAAGGTAAGCAATAGTATTGAACTGGAGATGATCCCTCATTTTAACCAATTTGACCACTTAGTAGAGTTTCTAGATATCTGTGTGGTAATAATATAATCGTTATATAGCCGAAAAAGGTGGAGTGGTGGTAGTCATGGATAGGTCAAGTAATGTAGAAAAAATGCTAGTTCATTTAAATGACAGTGACACGAATATACCTTTATGAGAGATCCAAAAGACAGACTTAAGACTAGGCAAAAAAGTTGCCCTTAAAATATGTGTAAGTAATTGTGAAATGGAGGAATGGAAAATGAATTCACTACTCCAGAGTGATGCAAGGGCCCCCACCGCTTATGGTCTTTCTAAGGTTCATAAGGAGGGTGCCCCCTAAGATTAATTATAAATAATAAAGGAAGCGTGATGCATCAAATATCACGGTTTTTATGCATACAAATAAGGAACTCTGCCAATTATTGGCTAGATCAACAGACAATTTCAGAAGAGGATAGGCTAGTAAGCTTTTATGTTGTGTCTATGTACACAAACATTCCTGTGAAAAAAGCTATTTAAGCTCTGATAAAAATTCTGGAGGAACATCCAGAGATAACACAAGGAATAAGGGTAAGTGTAGCTTCAATTATTAGACTTATTAATCTATGCATGAATACCACATATTTTACCTTAAATTAACAAACGCAAGGATTAGCGATGGGATATTGCCTGTTTCCCATCTTAGCGAATAATTATATAGAAAAATTGGAGGAACACATCTTGCAAGAGGCAATACTAACACCCACATTTTTGGTTAGATACATGGATGACTATTTTGTCAACTGGTCTCCTATTAAGAACAATTTAGATAGTTTCTTATTTTCAA